TACGGGCTTTACGGTTACGGAAGTTTCTAACTGGTAAATCACTAAAAAATTACTATTTATTACTAGAGAGTTCTTAGAAGTTATAAACTTGCTCAATAGAATAAGTTTAAATTTTATCGGAAGTTTTATTTATAGATTCCATTTTTTTTTTTATATGGAAACATGCGATAATGGTAAAAATTTCTTTATTTATATAAAATTTTAGATATATAGTAAAATATCTGGGGTATACTTAATACTCTTTTGTTAAAATAATTTTATCAGTAATCTACGCACATATTAAACTAATTTTTAAACTATTTTATACATATATATATATAGTTATATTTTTTATTTATAACCCAATCTCGCTCAATATTATATATATTTACATAAATGTTATTTTATTGTAACAGTTTTTAATAAAACTATTTTGTAACTGATACACATTACATAATTATATAAAATGTCATATTGATAATTTATGATGTATGTTTTACAGGTTCAACTTATATATCATTTGATGGTTTATCAGATGACTGAGACTTTGATCGTCGCTTCCCGCTTCAATAGCAGCTTTTCTACATTATTAGGAAAATTAATCCCAATCAATTTACCTATCACACTTTTTTTTGGTATGCCACTGTCTTTTCTTTTTTTTCGTTGTATTTTGTTAGAGTTATTTTTCTTAATGCTAGGGTCACTATGTGGCTCATTATGTCGTTCAATATGCTCTATTAATCTCTGTTTAGATGTAAGTCCTACGGAACATATATCGCAGTAAAATTTCTCCCCAAGATGCTTAATTTTTATATGCTGTTCCAGGTTAGATTTGTAGTAATAAGCTTTATGACATTTGTCATATGGACATGGTATAACCATTCGATCTTCAGAGTGAATTTTAGAATGTAATTTTAATTGTGTTTTTGTACGGAGAATCTTGTTACATTTGTCACATTTGTGTTCTGAAACCGAATTCTTATGTTCTAAAACAGAAAATAAAAGTTAAACATTTCTGTACTAAAATCCATTTGCTTTGTTAAAATAATAATTTTACAATGTGTATATATATATTTTCTTTCTCTATATTCTTACCTGTTTGATGTTTACGCAAAAGAGACCATTTACAAAATACCTCTGAACATCCAGAAATTTGGCAAGAGTAAGTCTTCTCATGGTTTTTCTCGTGACGTTTCAGTTTATTGATATTTCCGAAACTTTTGGGACATTTATCACACTTGTGTATTGTAGATTTAAAATGTACAATGTTACAGTGTTTAGCTAGCTCAAATTTTTTATTAAACACCATGCCACATTCTTCACAAATAATTTTACCTTTGCCATGTTGTTCTTTGTAATGACGTTTCAGATTGCAAGCATTAACAATCATTTGTGAACACTGCGAACATCTGAAAATAACACATAGAAAAATATATAACTATAATGTGTAAAATAAATTCTACCATATATAGGATGTTCCATTTTATTTTTGTCATTCAAATATCTTTACAAGATTTCACACATATGTGGAAAGTATATTTTGTCTGAAATATTTTTTCAAAAAACATCTTTACAGTATATTTTGGTGTTGAAAATAAAATAGGACATCCTGTATATATTAATATTTATACTTACTTATACACTGTTTCAATGAGATCATGTGTTTTTAAATGTCTTTTTAGGTGGCAAGAAGAAACATATGACTTAGTACACCCTGGTGCATTACAAATATATGGTCTCTATTATACAAGAATTCTTCAGTCATTAAATATTGACATTATGTAGCTAATTATGCATAATTTAACATATTGACTGTATATATATAATTCATCAATTGGTATAACAATAAGGTACAACATTTATTAATCTATTATTAAAAATATTATTTAACTCTATAGATATGTACTTATTATTTGGAATATTAATAGTCAATATACTAATACTGATTCTGTACCTCTCCAGTGTGTTGCCTTATATGTCTCTCTAATCTGGAAGGTTTTGAAAATATAGCATCACAGTCTGGATGGTTGCACTTATACTTCTTTCTTTTTTGAATGACAGATATTTTAGCATCATGCTCATTTTGTAAATTGGATGAAACATTTTCACTATCCTGATCAGATGTACAACCCATTTTAATATCACTTCAGTGACTTGGATAATGGATATTCCTTACTGAAAGTTTTTTAAAAATATAAGAAAATTTATCATCATATTTCAATGTATTTAATCATTATTTAATCATTAGAACAATTCTTTTGATCATTCTTTATTATAAACTTCAAAATTTGATAATTGTAATACTATGTTATGAATATCTTAATACGTTAAGTTGCAATGTGTAAATGTAATTTCACGTGTACCTATAGATTATTTTACGTATACATGTAGATTATTACAATGCTTAAAACTGAAAGATTGTTAGTAAAAAATTGGAAAATTATTTACAATATTTGACATAAGTAAAAATGTTATAATTACTAATGTTTTGTCACTTTTAGCAGAGCTTTCAGATAGATTTTAATTACAAGCACTTTATATAACATAAGGCGAAAAATTACAGAAGTGGACAATCGTCAAAAATAATCTTTAAACATAACCTCACCAACAGCACCCAAATTGTCCAAATACCTCCTATAGCACACGTGAGTTTCTTTTACGCATTGAATTACGTTGCAATATTTTACACGTTTAACTATTAAAAATTACAATATAAATAAATGTACCGTACGCTATAATTTTGTTTTCGATTTCTATACTAAACCAGTGGCACACGAAGCTTGTTTTCGCGCTGGATTGCGTACTGAGTGGAAATACTCTTTTGATTAGTGCATTTTCATCCATCTTCAGAAATGCACCAATTAGAACAGAGGTTGCGTTCAGCAGAAAAAGTTTTGCACTGGTGTAAAATTCATGAATTTGATTGGAGCATGCTTTTAATTTTGATTAAATCCAATGTATCAATCAGATTCACGAATTTTACAACAGTTGCAAAGCAGCTTTTTCTGCTGAACGCAGCTAAAGTATTTCCATCTAGCAAGCAATCCAGCACAAAAACAAGCACCGTGCGCCACTGGCTTAACATAAGGTATATAAGCAGTTTTCTAGTTTGCTGAACTGACTGCACTAATTCTATCTCATCTTTTTTCACCAAGTTTTATCTATATATCTATTTCTTTTTAAGTTCCGAAAGTGTACACTATTTCAGCAATAGAAAACAGACCTATAGTCTGTTCTTTTCAGTTGCACTACTGCAATAAGTTAGAGTAAGACAAGTATATATTTCTCTCATTCTCACTTATCACATCAGTGCAGTTGAAAAGAACAGACTAATAAACTTTGATATCTATTTACTGTTTTTTTAGTTGCATTGCTGAACTAGTACAATAAGTTAGAGTGAGAGAAAATATATTTCATTTTAACTTATTGCATTAGTTCAGCAATGCAGCTAAAAAAACAGACCAATTGGAACACGAAAAGTGTTCAGAAAACACAGCGCGTGCAGCAGTTGAATAAAAATTATTTCGCTGTTTTGTTTATATTTACAGTTGTACATTTAACTAATGTTTAGCGAACGTAACTAATTTCGTAAGAATGCGAATTGCTGCACTGCGCACGTGTATGCAGTTAACTGTCAAACTTACAATAGATTTATTCTCTTTAGTTGAACTGTTTGAACTGGTGCACATTGCCTGCAGTGCGATTATGTAACTCATTAAATGCAGTTAACGACAGTTTCGTTATCGTTGCGCAGCTTTTCTACGGTATACAAAAGTTGCGCAACGATAACGAAACTGTCGTTAACTCCAATCACTGCACTGCAGTGCGATTATGTAACTTGTTAAATGTAGTTAACGATAAATGTTGTATCGTTGCGCAGCTTTTCTATATCGTAGAAAAGCTGCGCAACGATAACGAAACTATCGTTAACTGCATTTAACGAGTTACATAATTGCACTGCTGGAGTCTTATTCCGTAACCACTTACCAACAATTGTCGGATTGGTAGACGTCGTTGCGTAGCTTTTTTACACCATAGAAAAGTTGCGCAACGACGTCTACCGATCCGACAATTGTCGATAAATGGTTACGGAATAGGGCTATTGGGATTCTGTAACTTGTTATTGGAGTTAACGACAGTTTCGTTATCGTTGCGCAACTTTTCTACGATATAAAAGCTGCGCAACAATAACGAAACTGTCGTTAACTCCAATAACGAGTTACAGAATCCCAGCACTGGTGCAATAAGTTAGAGCAAAACAAATATATTTTGTTTCACTTTAACTTATTACATCCGTTCAGCTAAAAAGAATAAACCTAATAGGTCCCATACAGCACAAATCTTTAAAAGACATTCTAAAGATGTTCTAAGGACATTCATACATCCTAAGAACGAGAAGAGAATATTCATACATCCTAGAATATTCTTTGAAGATTTTGTGCTATCTGGGGTAAAGCCTGTAAGATTCTCGGCAGTAATTAAGTTCGTTCGTTTTCTAAGAACTTCTATTCAATGTATCAACTTATAATCAATCTCGCTCAATATTACATATACTTACATAAATGTTGTTTTATTGTAATAGTATTTAATAAAACTATTTTGTAACTAATACACATATTATATAATTATATAAAATGTCATATTGTTAATTTATGATATATATTTTACAGGTTCAACTTATATATCATTTGATGGTTTATTAAAATTAATCCAAATCAATTTACCTATCACACTTTTTTTTGGTATGCCACTGTCTATTCTTTTTTCTCGTTGTATTTTGTTGGAGTTATTTTTCTTAATGCTAGGCTTAATCCTAGGGTCATTATATTTTTATTACATAATGTTTGTCGTTCAATATGCTTTATTAACTTCTGTTTAGATGTAAGTCCTGCGGAACATATATCGCAGTAAAATTTCTTCCCAAGATGCTTAATTTTTATATGCTGTTCCAGGTTAGATTTGTAGTAATAAGCTTTATGACATTTGTCGTATGGACATGGTATAACCATTCGATCTTCAGAGTGAATTTTAGAATGTAATTTTAATTGTGTTTTTGTACGGAGAACCTTGTTACATTTGTCACATTTGTGTTCTAAAACCGAATTCTTATGTTCTAAAACAGAAATTAAAAGTTAAACATTTCTGTACTAAAATCCATTTGCTTCGTTAAAATAATAATTTTGCAATGTGTATATGTATTTTCTTTCTCTATATTCTTACCTGTTTGATGTTTACGCAAAAGATACCATTTACAAAATACCTCTGAACATCCAGAAATTTGGCAAGGGTAAGTTTTCTCATGGTTTTTCTTGTGACGTTTCAGTTTATTGATATTTCCGAAACTTTTGGGACATTTATCACACTTGTGTATTGTAGATTTAAAATGTACAATGTTACAGTGTTTAGCTAGATCAAATTTTTTATTAAACACTGTGCCACATTCTTCACAAATAATTTTACCTTTGCCATGTTGTTCTTTGTAATGACGTTTCAGATTGCAAGCATTAACAATCATTTGTGAACACTGCAAACATCTGAAAATGACATAGAAAAATATATAACCATAATATGTAAAATAAATTCTACCATATACAGGATGTACCATTTTATTTTTGTCATTCAAATATCTTCACAAGATTTCACACATATCTGGATAGTATATTTCATCTGAAATATTTTTTCAAAAGACATTATCTTTACAGTATATTTTGGTGTCGAAAATAAAATAGGACATCCTGTATATATTAATATTTATACTTACTTATACACTATTTCAATGAGATCATGTGTTTTCAAATGTCTTTTTAAGTGGCAAGAAGAAACATATGACTTAGTACACCCTGATGCATTACAAATATATGGTCTCTATTATACAAGAATTCTTCAGTCATTAAATATTGACATTATGTAGCTAATTATGCATAATTTAACATATTGACTGTATATATATAATAATTCATCAATTGGTATAACAATAAAGTAAAACATTTATTAATATATTATTAAAAATATTATTTAATTCTATAAATATGTACTTATTACTTGGAATATTAATAGTCAATATACTAATACTGATTCTGTACCTCTCCAGTGTGTTGTCTTATATGTCTCTCTAATCTGGAAGGTTCTGAAAATATAGCATCACAGTCTGGATGGTTGCACTTATACTTCTTTCTTTTTTGAATGACAGATATTTTAGCATCATCCTCATTTTGTAAATTAGATGAAACATTTTCACTATCCTGATCAGATGTACAACCCATTTTAATATCACTTCAGTGACTTGGATAATGGATATTCCTTACTGAAAGTTTTTTAAAAATATAAGAAAATTTATCATCATATTTCAATGTATTTAATCATTATTTAATCATTAGAACAATTCTTTTGATCATTCTTTATTATAAACTTCAAAATTTGATAATTGTAATACTATGTTATGAATATCTTAATACGTTAAGTTGCAATGTGTAAATGTAATTTCACGTGTACCTGTAGATTATTTTACGTATACATGTAGATTATTACAATGCTTAAAACTGAAAGATTGTTAGTAAAAAATTGGAAAGTTATCATTTACAATATTTGACATAAATAAAAATGTTATAATTACTAATGTTTTGTCACTTTTAGCAGAGCTTTCAGATAGATTTTAATTACAAGCACTTCATTTAACATAAGGCGAAAAATTACAGAAGTGGACAATCGTCAAAAATAATCTTTAAACATAACCTCACCAACAGCACTCAAATTGTCCAAATACCTCCTATAGCACACGTGAGTTTCTTTTACGCATTGAATTACGTTGCAATATTTTACACGTTTAACTATTAAAAATTACAATATAAATAAATGTACCGTACGCTATAATTTTCTGTTTTCGATTTCTATACTAAACCAGTGGCACACGAAGCTTGTTTTCGCGCTGGATTGCGTACTGAATGGAAATACTCTTTTGATTAGTGCATTTTCATCCATCTTCAGAAATGCACCAATCAGAACAGAGGTTGCGTACAGCAGAAAAAGTTTTGCACTGATGTAAAATTCATGAATTTGATTGGAGCATGCTTTTAATTTTGATTAAATCCAATGTATCAATCAGATTCACGAATTTTACAACAGTTACAAAGCAGCTTTTTCTGCTGAACGCAGCTAAAGTATTTCCATCTAGCAAGCAATCCAGCACGAAAACAAGCACCGTGCGCCACTGGCTTAACATAAGGTATATAAGCAGTTTTCTAGTTTGCTGAACTGGCTGCATTAATTCTATCTCATCTTTTTTCACCAAGTTTTATTTATATATTTATTTCTTTTTAAGTTCCGAAAGTGTATACTATTTCAGCAATAGAAAACAGACCTATAGTCTGTTCTTTTCAGTTGCACTACTGCAATAAGTTAGAGTAAGACAAGTATATATTTCTCTCATTCTAACTTATCACACCAGTGCAGTTGAAAAGAACAGATTAATAAACTTTGATATCTATTTACTGTTTTTTTAGTTGCATTGCTGAACTAGTACAATAAGTTAGAGTGAGAGAAAATATATTTCATTTTACTTATTGCATTAGTTCAGCAATGCAGCTAAGAAAAACAGACCAATTGGAACACGAAAAGTGTTCAGCAAACACAGCGCGTGCAGCTGTTGAATAAAAATTGTTTCTCTGTTTTGTTTATATTTACAGTTGTACACATTTAACTAATGTTTAGCGTACGTAACTAATTTCGTAAGAATGCGAATTGCTGCACTGCGCACGTGTATGCAGTTAACTGTCAAACTTACAATAGATTTATTCTCTTTAGTTGAACTGTTTGAACTGGTGCACACTGCCTGCAGTGCGATTATGTAACTCATTAAATGCAGTTAACGACAGTTTCGTTATCGTTGCGCAGCTTTTCTACGGTATACAAAAATTGCGTAACGATAACGAAACTATCGTTAACTCCAGTCACTGCATTGCGATTATGTAACTTGTTAAATGTAGTTAACGATAAATGTTGTATCGTTGCGCAGCTTTTCTATATCGTAGAAAAGCTGCGCAATGATAACGAAACTATCGTTAACTGCATTTAATGAGTTACATAATTGCACTGCTGGGGCCTTATTCCGTAACCACTTACCAACAATTGTCGGATTGGTAGACGTCGTTGCGTAGCTTTTTTATACCATAGAAAAGTTGCGCAACGACGTCTACCGATCCGACAATTGTCGATAAATGGTTACGGAATAGGGCTATTGGGATTCTGTAACTTGTGATTGGAGTTAACGACAGTTTCGTTATCGTCGCGCAACTTTTCTACGATATAAAAGCTGCGCAATAATAACGAAACTGTCGTTAACTCCAATAACGAGTTACAGAATCCCAGCACTGGTGCAATAAGTTAGAGCAAAACAAATATATTTTGTTTCACTTTAACTTATTACATCCGTTCAGCTAAAAAGAATAAACCTAATAGGTCCCATACAGCACAAATCTTTAAAAGACATTCTAAAGATGTTCTAAGGACATTCATACATCCTAAGAACGAGAAGAGAATATTCATACATCCTAGAATATTCTTTGAAGATTTTGTGCTATCTGGGGTAAAGCCCGTAAGACTCTCGGCAGTTATTAAGTTTGTTCGTTTTCTAAGAACTTCTATTCAATGTATCAACTTATAATCAATCTCGCTCAATATTACATATACTTACATAAATGTTGTTTTATTGTAATAGTTTTTAATAAAACTATTTTGTAACTAATACACATATTATATAATACACATATTATATAATTATATAAAATGTCATATTGTTAATTTATGATGTATATTTTACAGATTCAACTTATATATCACACGGCTCCATTCCGGAAGCTATACCTAGACAACTTATATATTATTTGATGGTTTATTAAAATTAATCCCAATCAATTTACCTATCACACTTTTTTTTGGTATGCCACTGTCTATTTTTTTCTCTGGTATTTTTCTCTTATTTTTTTTAATTCTAGGTTTAATTCTAGGGTCATTATGTTTTTATTACATAATGTTTGTTTTTTAATATGGTTTATTAACTTCTGTTTAGATGCAAGTCCTGCGGAACATACATCGCAGAAAAATTTCTTCCCAAGATGCTTAATTTTTATATGCGAGTCCAGGTTAGATTTGTAGTAATAAACTCTACGACATTTTTTGTATGGGCATGGTATAACCCTTCGGTCTTCAGCGTGAATTTTAGAATGTATTCTTAATTGTGTTTTCGAACGGAGAACCTTGTTACATTTGTCACATTTGCTTCCTGAAATCGAATTCTTATGTTCTAAAACAGAAATTAAAAGTTAAACATTTCTGTACTAAAATCCATTTGCTTTGTTAAAATAATAATTTTGCAATGTGTATATATATTTTCTTTCTCTATATTCGTACCTGTTTCATCTTTGATGACGTGCAAAAGATACAATTTACAAAATACATCTGAACATCCAGAAATTTGGCAAGGATCAGTTTTCTCATGGTTTTTCTTGTGACGTTTCAGTTTATCGATATTTCCGAAACCTTTGGGACATTTATCACACTTGTAGATTTAAAATGTACAATGTTACAGTGTTTAGCTAGCTCAAATTTTTTATTAAACACTGTGCCACATTCTTCACAAATAATTTTACCTTTGCCATGATGTTCTTTGTAATGAAGTTTCAGATTGCAAGCATTAACAATCATTTTTGAACACAGCGAACATCTGAAAATGACATAGAAAAATATATAACCATAATGTGTAAAATAAATTCTACCATATACAGGATGTTCCATTTTATTTTTGTCATTCAAATATCTTCACAAGATTTCACACATATCTGGAAAGTATATTTTATCTGAAATATTTTTTCAAAAAACATTATCTTTACAGTATATTTTTGTGTTGAAAATAAAATAGGACATCCTGTATATATTAATATTTATACTTACTTATACACTATTTCAATGAGATCATGTGTTTTTAAATGTCTTTTTAGGTGGCAAGAAAAAAGATATGACTTAGTACACCCTGGTGCATCACAAATATATCGTCTCTATTATACAAGAATTCTTCAGTCATTAAATATTGACATTATGTAGCTAATTATACATAATTTAACCAATTGACTGTATATATATAATAATTCATCAATTGGTATAACAATAAGGTAACATTTATTAATCTATTATTAAAAATATTATTTAATTCTATAGATATGTACTTATTATTTGGAATATTAGTAGTCAATATGCTAATACTGATTCTGTACCTCTCCAGTGTGTTGCCTTATATGTCTCTCTAATTTGGAAGATTCTGAAAATATAGCATCACACTCTGGATGGTTGCACTTATACTTCTTTCTTTTTCGAATGACAGATATTTTATCATCATGCTCATTTTGCAAATTGGATAAAACATTTTCACTATCCTGATCAGATGTACAACCCATTTTAATATCACTTCAGTGACTTGGATAATGGATATTCCTTACTGAAAGTTTTTTAAAAATATAAGAAAATTTATCATCATATTTCAATGTATTTAATCATTATTTAATCATTAGAACAATTCTTTTGATCATTCTTTATTATAAACTTCAAAATTTGATAATTGTAATACTATGTTATAAATATCTTAATACCTTAAGTTGCAATGTGTAAATGTAATTTCACGTGTACCTGTAGATTATTTTTCGTATACATGCAGATTATTACAATGGGCAATGGCGTAGGGTCACTTAAGTAAAGGTGTACTCAGCCAACAATTGAAGTCTGAAGTCTAGATTATTACAATGCTTAAAACTGAAAGATGGTTAGTAAAAAATTGGAAAGTTATCATTTACAATATTTGACATAAGTAAAAATGTTATAATTACTAATGTTTTGTCACTTTTAGCAGAGCTTTTAGATAGATTTTAATTACAAGCACTTTATTTAACATAAGGCGAAAAATTACAGAAGTGGACAATCGTCAAAAATAATCTTTAAACATAACCTCACCAACAGCACCCAAATTGTCCAGATACCTCCTATGGCACACATGAGTTTCCTTTACGCATTGAATTACGTTGCAATATTTTACACGTTTAACTATTAAAAATTACAATATAAATAAATGTACCGTACGCTATAATTTTTTGTTTTCGATTTCTATACTAAACTAGTGGCACACGAAGATTGTTTTCGCGCTGGATTGCGTACTGGATGGAAATACTCTTTTGATTAGTGCATTTTCATCCATCTTCAGAAATGCACCAATCAGAACAGAGGTTGCGTACAGCAGAAAAAGTTTTGCACTGATGTAAAATTCATGAATTTGATTGGAGCATGCTTTTAATTTTGATTAAATCCAATGTATCAATCAGATTCACGAATTTTACAACAGTTACAAAGCAGCTTTTTCTGCTGAACGCAGCTAAAGTATTTCCATCTAGCAAGCAATCCAGCACGAAAACAAGCACCGTGCGCCACTGGCTTAACATAAGGTATATAAGCAGTTTTCTAGTTTGCTGAACTGGCTGCACTAATTCTATCTCATCTTTCTTCTACCAAGTTTTATCTATATATCTATTTCTTTTTAAGTTCCGAAAGTGTACGCTATTTCAACAATAGAAAACAGACCTATAGTCTGTTCTTTTCAGTTGCACTACTGCAATAAGTTAGAGTAAGACAAGTATATATTTCTCTCATTCTAACTTATCACACCAGTGCAGTTGAAAAGAATAGACTAATAAACTTTGATATCTACCCAGATAGCAAGGTGACGTCTAAAGACGTCATTAAAACGTCATAGACGTCTTAATAACGTCTTAATGACGTCTTTAGACGTCACTTTGCTGCCTGGGTATTTACTGTTTTTTTAGTTGCATTGCTGAACTAGTACAATAAGTTAGAGTGAGAGAAAATATATTTATTTCACTTTAACTTATTGCACTTGTTCAGCAATGCAGCTAAAAAAAACAGACCAATTGGAACACGAAAAGTGTTCAGCAAACACAGCGCGTGCAGCTGTTGAATAAAAATTGTTTCTCTGTTTTGTTTATATTTACAGTTGTACACATTTAACTAATGTTTAGCGAATGTAACGAATTTCGTAAGAATGCGAATTGCTGCACTGCGCACGTGTATGCAGTTAACTGTCAAACTTACAATAGATCTATTCTCTTTAGTTGAACTGTTTGAACTGGTGCACACTGCCTGCAGTGCGATTATGTAACTCGTTAAATGTAGTTAACGATAACGAAACTATCGTTAACTCAATAACGAGTTACAGAATCCCAGCACTGCAGTGCGATTATGTAACTCGTTAAATGTAGTTAACGATAACGAAACTATCGTTAACTCAATAACGAGTTACAGAATCCCAGCACTGCAGTGCGATTATGTAACTCGTTAAATGTAGTTAACGATAACGAAACTATCGTTAACTCAATAACGAGTTACAGAATCCCAGCACTGCAGTGCGATTATGTAACTCGTTAAATGTAGTTAACGATAACGAAACTATCGTTAACTGCATTTAACGAGTTACATAATCGCACTGCAGTGCTGGGATTCTGTAACTCGTTATTGAGTTAACGATAGTTTCGTTATCGTTAACTACATTTAACGAGTTACATAATCGCACTGCAGTGCTGGGATTCTGTAACTCGTTATTGAGTTAACGATAGTTTCGTTATCGTTAACTACATTTAACGAGTTACATAATCGCACTGCAGTGCTGGGATTCTGTAACTCGTTATTGAGTTAACGATAGTTTCGTTATCGTTAACTACATTTAACGAGTTACATAATCGCACTGCAGTGCTGGGATTCTGTAACTCGTTATTGAGTTAACGATAGTTTCGTTATCGTTAACTACATTTAACGAGTTACATAATTGCACTGCTGGGGCCTTATTCCGTAACCACTTACCAACAATTGTTGGATCGGTAGACATCCGTAGCTTTTTTATACCATAGAAAAATTGCGCAACGACGTCTACCGATCCGACAATTGTCGATAAGTGATTACGGAATAGGGCTATTGGGATTCTGTAACTCGTTATTGGAGTTAACGACAGTTTCGTTATCGTTGCGCAACTTTTCTACGTTATAAAAGCTGCGCAACGATAACGAAACTGTCGTTAACTCCAATAACGAGTTACAGAATCCCAGCACTGGTGCAATAAGTTAGAGCAAAACAAATATATTTTGCTTCACTTTAACTTATTACATCCGTTTAGTTAAAAAGAATAAACCTAATAGATCCCATACAGCACAAATCTTTAAAAGACATTCTAAAGGTGTTCCAAGGACATTCATACATCCTAAGAACGAGAAGAGAATATTCATACATCCTAGAATATTCTCTGAAGATTTTGTGCTATTTGGGGTAAAGCCCGTAAGACTCGACAGTAATTAAGTTCGTTCGTTTTCTAAGAACTTCTATTCAATGTATACAACAACGAATTAAACTAATTCTAACTAATAAGTACCTTGTATGTTATGAGAAATAAATCAAGTCAAAGTCAAGTCAAATAATTTATATATAATCTCATATAGCACAAATGTTCAGTAGATATCCTAAGAACGTTCTAAGAATATTCGTATATTCTTAAAATATTATATATGGGATGAAGGAAATATCAATATGTTTAATATATTTTTTTTCTGAAATTTTATACTTTCGTACAAAATCAAATTATTTAACGAAATTTGAATTTGTTTTTTTGGCTTGGAATCTTTCATTAACTTAACATTGTTGATTATTTAAATTGTAAAAAGAGTTAAGCTATATAAGCAAAGTCTAACAACTACGATGTGAAACAATGAGAAATATTATAAGTTCTCTTTTCTATACGTGTCATGATAAATCAGTACGATGCATAGGTTTGCGTTAAAGCAAATTGGAATGCTACGTGCGCTCGCTGGAATTCGGGTCGCCAAAGACCACGACTGTAATTGGGCCAAGCATGCACCCTATGCCCCATGAAACATTTCATAAAAGCGCAGACATCTTTTTCGATTTATACCGGTCAGTTTGTTATGATTTTATTATATTTGCTCAATGAAATCTTATTTATTTTGATGTTTTTCGCTGTTTCAGTGAGACATCATCTTGCAAGAATACGTTGGATTTCTCATTTCCGTGCCACGAGAAGCTTTAATACAGTACATATTCACAGCTTTTGCGAGCTTGTACATTGTAAGATTTGTTTCTGTTATTTTAACTCATATAGCATTCTCCGCCGAACTATTAAAAGACTAGGTACTCTATATATCTAGCGAATGGAATTTGTAGAATAGCACGATACTTAGTGAATGAAGCTTCGATATATGTCAATTTCGTCAGCAATAAAACGGGCAGACTTTAATTAGCGGTAATTTAAGGAGTAATTTAAAGAGAGTATCGGCATATTTTTAGGTGTCGGATTATCGATAATGATCATCCATAGTGTACGCACATCTCGATAACCGGGATCAAGATTTGTCATGAAAGGGAGAGACTCGTGAGTGAAGAGAAGGGTGAGGGTCGCACGCGCACGTTTGAGAAAGATAGAGAGCAAGAGACGTAGAGAGCAAGAGAGAATGAGAGACCGAGAGCAGACGCCAGCTACTCAATCCCCACTCCGAGATTGTTGGGGGCTACAGACCACGTGACCAGCCAGCAGAATCCGCGGCGTCCGCCGAAAATCTAAATCCGTCCGAGCCGAGGAAGAAGAAGAGGAGGTACTGTCTCGGCCTCCGCGGGCGGCACTAAAGCATAGCAGCACAGAGATAGTCCATAATTGCTCGTGGTTCGCGGCGGATTGATCGGCAAATTCGCGCGTTGCCTGCACTCGCGCGAATACGGGGGAGTTTTTGCCTTTTTTGTCTTCTCTTCCCGCACGCAAAAAGACGAGAATACAGCGGCAGCGGCGGCTGCGGCGATTTGTCGTAAGGTCGCTAGAGGAATATGATCCGCGTGGACGAGTCGGACCCGGTGGGAGGTAAGAGAGAGAGGTGGATTGGGACGTGGATAATTGTCGGGAAAACCGGCGAGGTGCCGAGTAAAAAACGGCGGGAAACGCTTTCGCGGAGAACGCGATCGGCCGCGCGTGCTTTCACGCGCCAAAAACCTGTCAGCGCGCGTTCGGCAGAAGCACGATTCGCAAGGGTCATTTGTCAAGCGGTAATCATTAGGATGCTTTATTTGTTTTCGCCGATAATTTCGTCGTTACAAAATTACACTCGGACATTCGCCTCGAAGGCGGGATCGATATACTCTCGGTGCGTTTAATATTATAGTTTCACGTAGATGTATCTCATGCAATTTGTCGCGCTCCCGATACATGGAATAAACGCAAGAAGCTATTTTCACGTGTTTTATAGCATCGAATTTTGAACTTTCCGAGATTATGTAGGTTTTAACTTCCGGAAGATACAGAAACGGAAAAATTTTTAAATCAGATAACAATAAAATAAAAAATATATATAAAAGATGAGCTAACTTTTATGGGATAGTTAAAAAGCGATAGGTGTAGAACTTTTTCAGAAAGAAAAAAATTGATGCAAAAATTACTAGTAATAAGAATAATTAGTAGTAAGAATAATTATATCGGAACATATAATAAAACTCGATAAAAATTACATTTTATACAAATAAAATTGAGATGAAATCATTACATAAGAATTTACGGCCTTCAAAGGTAAGCGCCAGAGGCCTGAGAGGCCTAAGAGAAATTCAGTTTGACACTAAATCCGTGCAACACCTACGCCTACATTATGCTCGTTGCCTTCCTGTTATAACGATTTTATTCGTTCATTTTCAGAGATCGAGCCCAGCTTTCCCTATAGAGACGTGACGGTACGTCGAGGTGTCGAGTTCAAGGACGATTATGACATTCAGGCGGAGCTCGGACGGTGAGTGATTAAATCCGTCGATTAGCGGATGCATATAGATACTGGAGCGACGTGCCAACGACGTGTCAATCGCGCGTGATCGCGCCTCGAATTAATGTCGCCTACGAAAAATACGCCGACCCGCCGCCGAAGTTCGCCCCGGAAGTTTGGCGGCGCGCCGATACAACGACGTGTTTCCTCAGGAACGCCGGCTGGAGCTTGTATATATTATGAGTCGGCTAGGTTTACGCATCGTCTGGTTATGTATCATCATTCCTGCGGGCCCTGTAGTAAATCGTAACTGCGTTTCAACTTTGTGCGGAACGCACGTGAGAGCTTTGCGCAACGATATTTTTATATATATACCGATATGTCTGAGCGGATGTTGTACGCAATAAGATTTTTGGGACGACAGTGAGATGAATCTTGAAAAGTCCGTCGAGTTCGCAGAGAGATATTTTAGAGGAGGTTCTGACGTTCTCTTCTTCACTCTTATGTTTCTTATCTTTGGTTTATTTAATCATAAGTCACGGACCTAATGTAACATCGCGATAGATCACATTTGTACGTGATTGTCGAGATAAATAATCCTTTATAGGTACATGACTTAAGTTCTGCAAAATCGTAAGACTGATTAATTATTAATTCCGGATTACTCGATGATTAAAGAGCAGCTTTCAAATGTTTATAACGTTCGATAACGACCGGATATCGAAGCTGTCGGCAAATTTTCACAAGATCGCACGACACAAGTTCACGAACTTGCACGGATATCGCACGTGTCTTTTTACCGTCATGCATCCGTATACACAGGTGCACGCGAGTGCGGAATGCAGCGCGCGCTGATAAGGTCGAGATGCATGCATGCCGGTGAAACACGCACGGTCTTGCTCTCGTGTGATCAAGGACCTGCGATATATCTATAAATAATCTGTTTCTCTCGACCCGTGAGTGACGTATAGGCGTCAAATCGGCGAACGTCGTGCCCGGCGGGCGTCCCGACGCTCTTGACACCGGCTTGAACTCGACTGACCTGCCGGTGTCGGAATGCGGCTTGACAATGAAACGTCTGTCGATGTGTCTCAATCATGGACAACCCAGCACTAATTAGAATCGCTAAAATGAATTAAAAGAAAATCGAATTGGACAAATAATTTTCTCCTTGATTCTTTTCATTCTCAAATTATCGGTGATTCTTAACGACGGAATTAAATGTCAACTCTGTATAGAAATCTTCTGAAAAGAAATCTATCTTAAAATACTTTGAATTCAAACAAAAGGTATGTTTTTTAGATTTATTTTTAGATATGTTTTTAGACGACTGAAAAAGAGATATTAGTGAGAAGTAGTATGAGCTTTAATTAATAAAAATATAACAATTGCGCTCGCTAACTCGATGATGCATTGACTTGGCCTTGTGACAGGCGTGTTGTGTCCCACGGTATTGTCAGACAGTTACGTCAAGACACGGGTGTATGTGCAGTTTTGGCAAATCCCCTGGTATTTATCGCTGTCATGCGTAATTTTTTGTCGCTCAATAACGTCATATTCCAAAAAGTGCATATCAAATATAGCATGCAATTTCGTAAATCACGAGCTTGTTAAATCAGTGACGATTTAATTCAAGTTCTAAGTGGTTAGATATGTTTCTTTCTTGCTATATTAAATGATAGAAGAAAGATCAAAGTAATTAAAAGAACGTTCGCTTTCCATTGATTTTCGTTTTTTCTCTCTCATTGTAGGGGTAAGTTTGGAATTGTTTACCGATGCAAGGACAAAGTGAGTGGCTTGATGCTCGCCGCGAAAGTGGTGAACGTTATGAAAAAAGAGGATAGACGAGCCGTGCAGAGGGAAGTCGAAATCATGCGACGCCTGCAACATCCACGATTGATCCAACTGTATGATGCCATTGATTCGGGAAGACAGATCTATGTTATTCTAGAATTGTACGTTTCATTCCGCGCACGAAGCACGTATAAGGAGCGTAAGATTTGAGAAAAACACGTTACTAGTTTATTGAAATTTTCATCATTTAAGGATCGACGGTGGCGAGCTCTTTGAGAGAGTGATAGACGACGATTTCGTGCTGACAGAACGCAGCTGCGCTGTTTTTATGCGGCAGATATGCGAAGGTATAGAGTTCATGCACGGTCAGAAGATCTTGCACCTTGACCTGAAGGTGAGTTGTTCAACTGCGTCGTTGTTCTACTTGATAGATTTCTACTTGATAGAAGGATTTCTACTTGATAGATGTACACTTTGTAAACATCTCTTTTAATTTCTTGTGTCTCTACTAGTGTTTGTAAAAAAAAAATATTTATAAAAATTGATGAGAGGAATTTCTGTTACAGCCTGAAAATATCTTATGCCTGACAAAGGAAGGCAACAGAATCAAAATCATAGACTTCGGTCTCGCAAGGGAATATGACCCGAATAAAAAGTTGCAGGTGTTATTCGGTACACCCGAGTTTGTTGCCCCAGAAGTCGTGAATTTCGATCAAATTGGATTTGGCACCGATGTGTGGAGCATAGGTGTTATTTGTTACGTCTTGTAAGTACAGTCTTGAGTGCTTCAGAAAAAAACAACGTCTTCTTGCGACGACGATTGTATATACGTGTTGTTATAGATTGTCTGGTCTGTCACCATTCATGGGCGATACGGACATAGAGACAATGGCCAATGTCACTATCGCCAAGTACGACTTCGATCACGAGGCCTTCATCGAAATTTCCGAGGACGCGAAGGATTTCATCAGATGTCTTCTGGTAAAGGACAAGGAGTAAGTATATTCTTTCGCTAAGGCACATTTTACTCTTGTGTATCTCTTTCTCAAATTTCTTCCTTTTCTCAACTCTTCCCTCCATGTCGCTTATGAAGTCTATTATTCGTTGCCTATGATCACGATTATTTACAATCCACGTCTGTCGCTACTCTTAAAGAAGCTAGCATGCTTCTAATTGTCTCCTTTTCCGCTCGCTGTGCACGAGGGTGTGTGTATGGTCCACGAATCTACACTTGTTATGGTATACGCACTGGTTTTTATCGTTGTGTTACTTGAAAATATTCTATTTTCGGTGATTCACATACACCAACATCGATTAATGCGACAGGTTGCATAAAGAAAACGATTTTTCTGTCTCGTGATAAGACATCAAGCGACAAGAAGTGTGAACGACACCGACGTAGGCGGCCTGCTCGTCGACTAAGCATTATCTCGTCGGGAACTTTGCAATCGAATATAAATGCAAATGTAGAAACACATATTACAGATACACACACGCACACATATATACACGCGCACACACACATACTTGTACGGTATCTGAGCATCGCCATCGGACACCTTTGCACGTTCATCGCACTCTTCGTCACGTTTTCGTTCCTTTACCGCGTACCCTTGGACCGCGGAATACATGCGTGTCTCTCCACGCACAAAAGGGAATCTGAGCCCGCAGCACTAAAGCACGACCCTCCTCACGACAAGCCTTTCGAATCTTTCAGAAAGCGATTCACGGCGGCGCAATGTCGGGAACACTGTTGGCTGGCCCGCAAGACGCACACTAGGACTAGGACGGAGAAGGAGGTTGTGGGACTGGCGGAGGCCAAACGGAATGCCTTCATCGAGAATCGTTCACCGATCGTAGGAATCGTCAGTGATAACAAAGATGAGCTGGACGTGACGAAGGACAATCTCAGGCTATTCGTCGAACGTTGGCGGGAACATCCGGACAGCCCGTATACGATCGACACGTATCACGCGTTGCCAAGGAACCCGGCTCGCGAACGCGATGAGTCGGTCTCTCTGCGAGCTCACAGTCCCTCGCCTTGCGACAGTCTTCCCAGCAGCAGCGCGCCATCGGAGAAGGTGCTGGACTCAGCCCGAGATAATTCTAGTAATCTGTTATCCGTGCCGAGTATTAGCTTGTCTCTGGAGAGAAGAGCGTCCGAGGGTACAGCCTTGCGAAACCGTCGCGATCCCGCCAGTCAGATCGCTCTTGCCGAGGAAATCATCAAACTGTCAGAACATCTGCGTGCGATCGCTATGGGATCGCAGACAAGCGAGGAGGACACGGACGAGAGTGCGATGAGTACAATCCAGCATTCCGCCAAGAAGAAGCTCGTCAACATTGGAAATACTTGTGGTACGTACGCGAAGAGCAGCGCAACGTTGTCCGTGTCTCATAACGAAAGAGAGGAGACTAACGAGATCACGGAGAAGCTGTCCAACATCACTCGACAGCGAAAGCTCAACGGGACGACCTTTCATAGTAGTCGTAGTTTCGACAAATACATACAAGACACCAATCCTGGAAACGTATTTGTAGCTTTGAGGAGAACGAGCATCAGCGATAGCGAAACGTCCGAGAGACGCAAGGGTAAGAAATATTCCATCGAGCAGTCGTCGATGATCTCCGAGACGATCGAGGAAAAGTTCAATGGAGAAACGACGGACAAAAGGACTTCCATACAGCAGGCGTCTTCTGTCAGCAGAGAAGAGGACAGCAAGGAGATGGATTTGACACCACCCTGGCGACACTCGCGAGTCAAACGATCCTTTGGCGAGACCAGCAGGGACGTGCCGCGGATATCGAATTTGCGGGATCTGCACAAGAATCTGAACCTCGACGAACCGAGTAGCGCCAAAGACCTGTTGTTGCACTTGCTGGGCGAATGGGACGAGGTCACGGCGACACCCTGCGCTGGTGCCGGCAGGAAATCTGTAAGTCTCGATTGGTGCGCCGGAGACTCGGTCGCCAGACGGACAATGAACTCGTTGGCGGAATACTTCCAGTCGAAGCAACAAGAAGCGCAACCTCCCGACCACGTCGCATCCTCCACATCGCCATCGATACATCGTTAAACGTAAAACGCGTGTCTATTGCGAAACTCGAACTTCGCATGTTCGTGGATCGCCACGAGAACACGTAGTTCGTGTTTCAATTGCGCGCGGATTTCTCAGGAAAACGCGTTATTATATATTATTGTGCGGTTTTATTCGGTCGTAAATCTCCTTTTGGAGCGACATTGAAGCGGCTTAGCGCTTTTCAAATGAGATATACACATCATAGAGCTCTGAGGCAATATTTTTTGATAATTAATATAATGCGCGGGCATTGTGGTATTTTTAATATTGTAGACGAATTGAGGAAAAAATTGATAGAAATTCAGTTCTATGAAGTTGCGAATTTCTAATCTTCGAGACTGACTTTAATTAATTGTCAAATTCCTTTAAATGCTTCTTGTATTCATTTTAATAAGACGATTATTCGGGAATCAAGGCGCGAACATATTTCTGTTAGCAATCGAAAAGCTATTGTTTCTAAATAAAATACGAGAGCTTTTGCTATATACCATAAACACACCCTCAAATCGAGCTGAAACCTGATATAATATGATCGTGCGTCAATCTCTAAGTCTCATCGAAACATTTACAAAAAGAATATGACTTTGATTTTCTGCGAACTAATATTCCATCGTGATGCTTTTAACAAGAACGCGGCAGCTTTTTATATTTTTCCTGGATTTGAAAAAATTTTTACTCGTAAACTACAGTTTTCAAAACGTTCAAAACGAAATAGTAGTATTATTCTATTATATTGTAGTGTAGTATGATAATATTATTAACTATATTTCCCGAAATGAATAACAGACTAAGTTTAGATTTTTTACTAAGAATGTTGAACCAAATTTGTAAGGAAGACATAGAGAGTTGATTGCAGTAATATGTGTTTATACATTTTTTGTTAAAAATAGTTTGCTTATATTTTATATTTAATACAAAACACTATAATATATTATAAAAAAAAATCATGACATCCGTTTGTTTTGTTCATGATTCTTCACATCGGGGCTCACATAATTAGTTGCGAATAACATACAAAGGAAGATTTATAGAGAATGTTTCAAAATAAATGAGTTAAATTATAATGACAGACGCTCTGATCAATCTGGAGTCAATGATTCTCGTTTTCATCTCTTTTGTAAATCGTCTGTAATGCCATCAACTCTCACGTTTTATCGTAATTATATTATTTGTACAATAATGCGAAACGTAACGGAGGAAATTCTTGTCATTACTAATTAGTTTACAAGTGATAAATAAATTGAGAAATTTATTAGTTTTCTTGCTCTAGGAAGAGACCGTCTCCAGGCAAACTTATAGAGCACCGTTGGCTGGAAGCCGCTGTGGAAAATCCGATTCAGAAGCATCGATTGAAGCGCTATGTCATTAAGAAACGCTGGGTTAAGGCCGTTAACACTATCTTGGCATTGAAACGAATGGGCGCGCGTTTAGACTTCGACTTGATCTAGTATTAGTGACACCAACATTGATACGATAATCACCATGTCTGACATTTGTATCTCGTATTGTGTTCGTGTAATTTCTCGTTTAAAGCGTATGATTTTAGATGAAGAATCGATAAGGGATAAAGGATAAGAGAGAGTTCGTAACACGATCATCGTAAAATGAAGAGACGTCAAGTATGCGTTATTCTCGCATAATTTCTCTTTAGAAGCAAGAATATTATATTCTCCGTACCATATATATATATGCATAGCATAACGATGATTATGAAATGAAAGTGTCAGAATTATTCCATATTAGGCGAATAGTTTGTGGATAATACGAGTTGCTGCCATACAACCCAGGTAGCAAGGTGACGTCTTTAGACGTCACCTTGCTACCTGGGAAGTATCTTGAATACTTCTCGCAATTTATACATACAATTTGAATTTACTCAAAAGATGAATATAATATTATATATATATATATATATATATATATATATATATATATATATATATATATATATATATATATATATTATATGTTGTGTATAATACATAGGAATTCTCATACATCATAATATAAATGTGCGCGTATAAAATACCTATATTGTACCTTTAAATCAAGTCTTGTATAATAATATATAAAGGAGCGAGACGAACGAGCGAATATAAACTGTATTATAAATTTAGTTACGTTTTTCCATTTGTCCCTAAATATTTCAAATAAATCGCTTCATTTGCCTCATACTGTTAACATGAAATAGGATTGCGTTCATGATAAATATATTTTACAAAATAACTACGCATATATGTATTCAGTGTCCTTTATTTAATAAACAAATTAATTAAGTAATATTAGTAAACAATATCCTATATGTATGTCTGTAAAAATATTAATTTATTATATCATTTAATTTAATTCTTTATTTCTCTAGAATGAATATCTACTTTTTTTCTGAAAAGATTGTCAAGAAAAGCTTTGAATTTCCCGGAATTTACGTCATTGCGATTTCAGATAGTTCAGATAAGTAACGCTAGAAGGCGTTACTGTACACTCCACTGTACACACGTTTTCTATCTACTTTAACTGTTGATTTGATATGTGATCATCAACGAAATATATTTGTTTTATTGAGTTTTTTTCACTTTTATAAATATATTTAATATGGTAAGTAATATGGTACAACATCTAAAAATTGGTTTTTCTTTATCAGTCAAAAGAGAGAGAGAGAGAGAGAAATACAATAAAATAAATAAATAGAGAGAGAGAAAGAGAGAGAGTTGCATTTGATATTGATTAATATTAAACTATGTACATATATATATATATATATATATATATATACATAAAAATAAAATAACGATGTTTATGTGATAAACTCCTTTATGTTTTACTTCAGGATGAGGATATATTGCAGAAGTGGAGTCCTTATGCCAGAGAATATGATCCTCTAAAGGCAGGCAGTATTGATGGAACAGACACAGAACCTCATGACAGGGCTATTAGTAGAGCGATGATGATGCACTATGAACCACCACATTTAGAATCTAAATCAGAAAGGACTTTATTTGTAGCTAGGTTTGGTCCTAAGATTACTAAGGATGATTTGCAAGAGGTACTGTCAGTTTGATAAAACTACGATATGAGATACTCAATGCTTGCAATTATTATTTAGTTTTTTAACAGATATGGAGATGTCATTTCAGTAAAAATAATAGTAGATGTGGTAACTGGGCTTTCTCAAGGTTATGGTTTTGTGGAAATGAAAAGTGAAGAAGATGCTAGAAGGGTGTTAAGACGAGTTACAGATGCTACATTAAAAGGATATAAAATATTTATTGATCGTGAGTGTGGTCGTACCATGAAAGGTTGGAAACCAAGAAGACTTGGTATGTGATTGATAATTAAGCATATTTTGCTCATACAAGTATTTTACGATTTTTGATTATTTAATTTTGATTATTTAATTTTTTAGGAGGTGGCTTTGGTGGCAAGAAGGAGTCGGGACAATTGAGATTTGGAGGAAAAGACAGACCATTTAAACGACCCATTGTACCTAATATTTTAAAACCTAGTCATACTAATTTAAAAAGTCATACTAATTTAAAATAAAGAGCTTCTTTAACTTGTAACGGAATATTATTTGAAAAAATGAAATCTAATCTGTCGTTTAGTTGTACTGTTTGAATATAAAAAATAGCTTTTGTATCAAGTAACATTATGTGAAAATAAGGATTTGATTGTCCCGTTGAATCTTGCTACAATCTCTGCAATCTTATTATAGTTTTAAAAAATTCTTATTTCTAGATAGATAAAAGCCTGCTAATCTTCTGTTGAGTCGTACTTAAAAAATTAAATTTGTTTGAATATTGTTTGAATTACAAATCTCCATCACTACCTCGAATTTTTGTAAGAAAATTTAGATAGTAGCGGCTCGTAGCGGAGATTTTGGAACTACATTTTATATTTTTCAGCTGAGACTCAAGCTTATCCAAGATTCAAACCACTTTTGCCTACCGGGTTCCTCACGCTGTCGTTGGATGGCGCCAAATAGTCGTTTACTGCACTGAACTATATAACATACTGAAAGGAGCACTGCCTTTATCTCTGCCTCAATAAGCGCGAACCAAAAGAGTTCAGAAATAATATCCGAAAGGAATCTCTGTCTTTGTCTGTCACGTATTACCTGAGTTAAAAATGCAGCCTAAATTGAAAATAACATTTTATATATTATTAATTTAACGATAAAGAAAAATAAAAACACTAATTTTATTTTATATTTATAATAATATGTATATATATATATATATATATATATATATATATATATATATATATATA